ACAATGAGAGGAGACAAAAAGAACTTTGGAGTAAGAAATTTTGTAATTTGGGGCGAAATGTAGTATTTTCAATGTAAAGAAGTAAAAAGAACATGAAAGGAGAGTAAACAGGTGTTTTCATGTGACTTCAAAGAGCAGTCAAAGTGTTAAAAATGGTAATGGGAAATGGCAGGAGGAACAAAGAGGAATATGTTCAATGTAAAAATGATTTTAATTGGAAAGGATGTGTTTAAAGATACAGAACAGTACAGAGGAGTGGAACAACAAATTTACAACAAAAACAAATGTGCAGAAGAGACGTTAATATCCTTCAGCGTTGAAGTGAAGCAGCAAAGCACATGAGCAGGAAGTGGATAAAAGAAAAGAACAAAGGTGTTCTTTGGATTAAAGGTGTAGAAGAAGAAACGGGAAGAGCAAAACATACAGTAGAAGCACCAGGTGGAAAAATAAAATTCTGCAAGAAGAAAAAAAAGAAAAAGAAAAGAGAAACAGAGGAGAGAGAAGGAGCATGAAAATATGTGTTAAAATGCTGCAGTGGCTAAAATAACAGGTGAGTCAGGTGAAGTGAAGGCCTGGAGCTAAACTGTAGCAAAGTGAATAAAGGATGTGAAGTGATACAGAGGCCAGGTCCTGTTTGAAAAATTCACAGACACACACTGGGCTGTAGATGTAGTTTTGTCTGTGAGGGAATGAGGGGCGCAGCCCGGAGACAGGCAGAGGATTCTTCATCAACAGGCATGAGGTGGAACCAGATGCTGCTGGACTGTGGACGTCACTAGTACCAGTGGTTCTGGTTGTTTTTTTGCATTGCTCACATTAAGCCAAAGACACAGTCCATGATATGACTCATTACATTTCACATCCCTCTTCCATTCTTACCTATTTATTTGGACAGAAAGACATGGTCATACTGGTAAAAGGAGCAGGCTTGTATACACACACACACACACACACACGTATATATGTTTGCATATATACATATACATTTATATGTATATTTTTGTGTATGGATATAAACACTCTTTATACATATATATATATAGAAGAGTATCTATCTATATATGTGAATATTTATCTATCTATGTTTTGTTTATAGCCATATACAGACATACACATATTTCTTCAGACCTCCTCAACATCTTATACTATAACTCTGACTTCATGTCAAAATTCACAGCTGAATTACTAGTATGTAGATACACGTCCAAATGTCCTGGTACCTGCTGTAAAAATTATTTTCAAACTGACAGATATATTACATGTTCTGTCCCAGGATTCAGCATTGACTCCTATAGACAAACCTGGGATCAGGTCACCTGCTGATTCATGGACGGTGACCTCAGCGACCCATTCTCAGTCTCAGGTTGCTTCTGTTTTGCTGCTCCTAACCATTGCAGACATTTCAGTCCCAGTGTTTCCTGTGGTTCCCAGTTCTCCATTCTCAGGAATTTTAGCAGCTTCAAATAAACAGTCCAACTCCCAGCATCCTTCTGTGACCGTCAGTTGTTTTACTCTTCAGAAATGCAGCACTATGTTAAATATACATATAGTCAGCCCCGCTGGTGCATGTGCCAATTAAGCACTGTTTTATTGGGCTGCTGCTCACAGCAGCATGCGCGGGTGTGTGCATGTGTGGGTGTTTATACCAGAGGGAAGGTTAGTGAGCATAATTGAATCATATTACTTCCTCCACATGGCTTGTCAAGGCCTTTTTTATGATTTGGAGCTAATCCATACGGATACTAATCATTGATTTAGCCATGCATTGATAAGTTACTCCAGGATGCAGAATGGCAAAAAGCACTCAGAACATTAATATCAAAACAAACATTTGCTCCCCCAGAGGGAGGGGGGAGGAGGCAGTGACATTTTATGCACCTCTGCAAAGTGTCTGAAAAAAATTAATAAAAATGAAATACGGCCGACGCAGTGTAAATAACAAGTCAGCAGCTACTGTCCATCTCTGCTGACTGAGTTTCTCCTTGTCTGTTGTTTATTGTGAGAGATCACAGCGTACACTACAAGACAACCAGTGGCTTTTCTCTACACTCTGCCCTATACAGCTAATAATAACAATAAAAAACAAGTTTCCATGCGGGGAAAAGTTTTTAGGTTTTTTTTCTTTATAAATCAGCACCTGCTGTGTAGGTTATCAAGGACCTACTGTATATCGCAGCACAGCAGCATATTGTGAAACCACAGACAGCAGTTGCAGTTGAATAAATCTGTGTGTAAATGTCTGCGGTCACTAACGAATAGGTGGTCCCAGACATATTAGTCTCTAAATGACTGACTGCTAATAGGAAACCACGGCAGCTCATCCGTGGACTTTTATCGGCCTTTATGATTTTCATCAGCAGTTATTAGTAACAGTCCTGACCAATCCACTGCTGGGCTCGCTGGTTTGTGAAGTCTTTATCGGCTCTCTTACGTCGCTCAAAGAGGAGGACGAGAAGTTTTAGATTCTACATTCAGCGTGTTGTAATGTGGCTGAAGCACAAATGGCTTTTCAGGAAGTGTACTTTTATGATCCCAGGCATTTAAGTGGCAGTATTATCCAGATGTGCTGCTTGGAGAGAGTGAAAGTTGTAAAGTGGTCAAAGTTTCAGTCGTCTGTAGTTTGTTTCAGACTAGGACCGTGTGTAAGAAATGGACAGAGCCACAAAGGTGAAGCCCCAGAGGTGGAGAAGGAGAAGCATCAGTTCTGGCTAAAAGAAAAAAAAATCATTGCATTTCTAACTAGTCCCTATATCTGTAGTCTGGAAAATGTGTGTCTTACAATGGACTTCTGGCTTTTTGAATTCTCTATACAAAACAGTAATTAATGCTAATGGTAATAAAAAGGAGTTCAGGGTCAGTAGTGCAATGGGTCTACAGGGCTGGGATACAAAACAAATGTTTGTTTTGATGTTTTTTTTAATAAAAACAAGACCATTTAGGGACATAACTTTAAGAGTCCAAGTCCAAGAGGCTAAATTACCTACTACCCCTATATTTCTGGAAAGTTCAAAAGTAGAATATAGAAATGAAAATGATAATTCAGTATTCAGTCTGTAGGGACATTTTAGAAAAATATTCATTTTTCAAAACACTATGAAGGTGACTGTAGCCTTGAACAGTGTCTCTGACCCTGGAACTCCTGTCACGTCCACCGCTGAAGTGATGATCAGGACTCAGAGACATGACGTACACCTTTGGATATATATATATATATATATTCTATCAAAGACATTCATGCAGACATGAAGGTCAATCAGAAGTATGTTAACAGGTTTAATGGCATTTAAAAAAACTTTTTGCACCAAAGAAAAAAGTCATTGCTGTTGTGTTTTCATTGGCAAAGATTCAAACATATTTCTTTTATAATACTTTTTTTTTAAAGACAATTCAAGGCCTTGTTGTTTACAGGTATTTACTTCCCCAAAGTAATGACAATATATTGCCAGATCAATACAATGGCCCCCTCAAAATGACAAATTCAATCATATTTATACATAACTTTTTGGTTTTTTAACCAGTGTCTACAAGGAAACAAAGGCTGGGTTTTGCTGCATTTCTTTCCTCGTGGCTCCTTCTCTTTGCCCGTGCACATCCACGTGAACACTCTCCAACTGGGTTGCATTGGTGGGAGAATGGAGAGAGATAAACATGGGAAGTGAGCTAATGCTCGGAGAGAAAGCGGCTCTGAACACAGGAGCAGCTCAGATAATAAATTGGTCCGAAGTGAGGTGTATTGGGTACACACTCCTCTCTGAAGATTAGAGAGGCTGAATATTCACGCGCGTGCATGTGTGTGAGAGAGAGAGTGTGTGTATGTATGTGAGCACGAACGCATGTGTCTGAGTGAGAGAGCGATGGAGAGAGAGCACGAGAGACCCCAGCTCTCCAAACACCACCATATGCCCAAATCAAATTTTCGTTTCCTCCTCTTCCACTTCCATTCTTGCCATCAGCATCAGGTGAGCCAAGTGGGGTAGCAGACAGAGGAGTAATCTGTCTCAGTCTTTACAAACACACAAACATAAGTACACACACTCACACACACATGCAAGTGGTGTTGACTGGGATGCAAGCCTAGCAGATATGCAGTTGCCAAAGGACCAGGACGTATCAAGCCAACATGCTACCCCCCCCCCCCCCCCCCCCCCCCCCCCCTCTCTCACTCTCTTTCATACACACACACACCATGGTTCATTCCTGCAGACTGCAGTCATTTAGTATTAATGGCTTTACTGTAATTACATCTGCAAACTGACACTTGACATCCTCTCAGTCAGTGTCTGTGTCAGTGTCAGTGTCTGTGGCTGTGGCTGTGGCTGTTGGTCTCCTCTGTTCTCCTGCCAGTGTGTTTGGACAGATCTGCTGTGACACTGGTCTGTTGATATGAACTCAAACATCCAACGTGCACAAGGGTCGGGTGTTTGACATTTATTATTTTATTTCCTTCTCTGGCGCTGCTTTAAACAGATGGTGTTCTGTTCAGCTCGTGTTTATATACAGTGGTAAATACACGGTTGTTGAAATTTACCCAGAATTCAACAAGAACTCTGATGTTAAATAACGGACCAGTGGTGATAATAGGACCTGGTTATGAATCCGTGCTTTTCTTTTTTTGTGTTTTTGTGTTTCGATAATTAAACCAAGGTAAATAGAAATGAAAATCTACCCAGAGAGGGCTGCAGCCCGGCCTGGGACGGTGATTATTATTGTGTTTATATTATCACCTTCCGTTACCTATTGTTATTGTACAGCCATTAATTTTCAGTTGTGGTTGGAGAGCTGAGAATGCAGTCTGGAAATTCACTCTAACTTTTACTCTAACAATAAAATATATTTTTAATTAAACTTGCGGAGGTTAAGAAATTTCTCCACGGAGCTCTCTTGAAAAAAAAGTTGGGGAAGAAACAAAATTGGGTTTAAAAAGAAAAATCCTGTAAGAAGTATCTGGTGGTAGTGGGACGTCCTCAGTCTTTAACATGACTCTTTATCTTTATTTGCAGAAACCAAGCCAGGAAGTGGTCTGTGCAAACCAGGAACCATTGCTCTGTTTGGTAACGTGGTGTACAGCGGGCTGCTCAACGAGCACTTCTGGCACTTTGGGGTTCCCCTCGTCACCAGACTGGTCAGTTCCTGCTTTTTTTTTTTTTTTAAATGTCCACTCTTTTTTTTCTCATCTTCAGTTTGCTTGACATTTACTTCAGCTCCCAGCTCCGTGTCTGACCGTGTCACCCGCCTGGACAGTGGGGCGGGTCTTTTACTGTATGTGAGGGATTGACTATGGCACCAAAAGTGTTTTTTCTAGTCAGGTCATGAAATAATCAGGACTTACTGTCAATGCTACGGCTACAATGCGAGCTAAGCTGAGTCCTGGTGTAACGTAGAAACACTGATAATCATTTTAAACGCCCTTTGTTTTCACCTCCTGAGCTCAAACCCCCAGTTTTGAGAGGTAAATGTCTCCTGAACTCTTGAACTAGGTCGTCCACTTGGAGTCAAACTTTGTCCCTTCTCACCCAGTCACTATTTTCCACGTACTTCCTATCCTGCCCCGCAGATACTTCAAAAGTTAGGCCATATTTAATTGGTCAGTAATTGACCATACACCCAGTGGAGCGTTTACGACTAAACATGTAGATGTGTGATGACATTTTCACAGCGACCAGTGAGCGGTGGGAATCGAGGGAGGAGCCGTCGGACAACAGTAAAGTTTAATAGGCCAGAATGGATAAAAAGTAAAAACCCACAGCTTTGACACCAGATTCATTTCTTTTTTTATGGTCACCACACAGCATAATTTCCCTGTGGGTGCTCGGGAGTCTGGGTCGCCTGTGGTGACTGGCTCAGCTGCCCCTATCGATCAAACACTCACCTTGCAGGTCATAACGCTCCCTTCAAAATGTTGAGGGGAGGCGGGGGCGTGAAAAGAGCGGAAGACGACGGTGTTGAAGGAGTAGAAGAAGAAATGGGATTCTTTTTCTGTGAAGGCTGTGCGTCTGCCCCAGTCCTGGTTAATACTTCACTGTCGCTCCCATAAATAATGGATGGAGTTCTAGCATTAGCTCAAACCAACACAATATTAGTGGTATTTCAATTAACTTTGAATTAGTCTGTAATATCTTCCATGTCGCCTTCTGATTGCATTGCTGTGTTTTATTGAGCTGCTGATAAATGTTGGATTTGATAGATATTGATGTTGTCTCCTTGTCAGGATACAACGGAGGCTGTTGGAGTTTGATCGCTCACCCGTGAAGCCGCGCGACGTGCACGCCGTCTCGTCTGCCGTCTTAATTACTCTAATGAAAGCTGCAGCTAATTTCTGCTGTACAGCGGAGCAATTATTATTTCTTTTTCAAGATGCGAGAAAATTCCGATAATTTATCACATCTCTTCATCTCTGAAGACCCAGAAGCAGCAGCTCCATCAAATCTTCGACTTTCAGATGGCGCACTGGGGAATCTGCAATATTTATTTTTAACATTGTAAATATTTTAGCTGTGCATACCTATACAGCAGCTGATATCATCAAAAATGATTACACACACACACAGAGGGGCAGAGAGAGAGAGAGAGAGATTTTAAATGATTCAGTGCATTGCAGATGTTTAGTGCTGGTTGAGGCTCAGTAACAGAGATAGCAGAGTTAACAGCTGGGCTCTCCCTCCGACTCCTTGTTCATTTTCTCAGCTCTCTTTTCTTCATTGAACATTCAGATTCAGCCCGCAGTACAAAGCAGGAGTAAAGTGTTCCTCTTTTTGCATCAGATTTTTGGCAACTTTTTGTGATGATGATGATGATGATGATGGTGATGATAAAGGTGATCTTCTTTTGTTCCTTTTATGCTATGTTGTTTTTTTAAGCAGGTTTTTAAAACTCTGTGAAGAACTGGAGTGCAGTTTTCTCTGCGCTGCTCAATAAGATCTGTGGCAGGAATTGCAGTTTTTTCACTATTAATAGATAGATAATAATAGAAGAAGTTGTGCAAGTGTGTTTTTGTGTGTGTGTAAGTGCAGTATTTGTACCCACCTGGTATCGAAACTGTTCATTAGTGGAAAAGCTGTGGAAGAAAAAGACTCAAGGAAAAGTAGAGACATTAAATGAGGTGAATGTTTTTCTGTTCTCAGAGTTCTCTGTCTGTGAAAACTATCAGAGGGAAAAACTCTTCTGTTCACTTGGTCTGTCCTGTTATTTTCGCAGAGAAGGGTCCAAAAAAAGTTACCATCAAAATGTGTAATATAATAATTATACATAGAAATATATAATATTAATAATTGTTAATAATAATATGATGACACTAACTAAATAACAATAATATTATATCATGCATGAACACCCACATATATATATACATATATATTTGTATGTTTATATGTTGTATATACAGTATACATATATTGTTTGCATGTATATATAAATATATATAACATATATTATATGCATATATATACATATTGTATATACTGTATGTATATATAGACAAACAATTTGTACAGAGACAGACCAACAGTTTATTTTCTAAAAATTCTAAATACATTTTAAATACACACACACACACACACACACACACAATGCTATATATGTATATAATTGCTTATGGAAAGCACAGAGAGCTTTTCATTACAACACAGATTCAAAAAGTTTATCTTCTCAGGTAGAGTTTTTTCCACCTTCAAGCCTGGCGTCAAAGATCTTAATCACTTTTATATCAAGTCCTCAACTTGTAAAAGAAAAAAAAAAAAAAACACCTGATGATTTAAGGCTGCATGTGGGGATATCGAATATGCAGTTAGGAGCCAGACACAGTGCAGCTTTAAAAAGTGGTCGGTAAATGGACAGAAGCCAGGACAGAGATGATATGATTTCATCTTTAAAGTCCAGCAAGAAGCCCATTAGGCTTGGAGCTGGTAATACTGAGATGTTTTGATTTGACACTTGACAGACTGGAACAATAGTACTTCAGAGTAGTAGTAGTAATTAGAATGAGACCTGGGGGGGGGAGAAAGGCAATGAAAAGAGGGGAAATGTTTGTTTGTTTTTGTTTTAAAGACAAGTATTCACTTCATAACAGGAGGGTTTGTGGTTTATAGCCCATCTCCACCTGTCGTCATTCAGGGCAAAACACTAAAACCCAGATCAGCCCCTAAATACCCATACAGCACTGTGACAGTGCTGTGTGGGTATTTACACTGCATTTCCCTCTCCTTCCTGTGCGTGTGCGTTTTAGAGCAGGTGTGCAATGACCTGTCATCTACAGGGTCTACTGAAGGTAGATGTGGAATTAAAATACTCAAGGTGTAAACATGGAGCTGTGTCTTGACGCAAGGAAGACTGTGATGTATACATCATATATTTATTTATATTTACAGCATACATACATATGCATACTGTATTTCAATTCAATACAGACAATTCCCTGCTGAAAATATTTGGAGTTCTTTGGAAAAATTCTGTTTTAAAGCTATGTACATACAAACATATATTTTTGAACTATTGCCTCCAAATTAAAAGCACCTAAATGTACACACAAGGTACACACATACATACTTTTCCTGACCAGTTCTTCACTACATCTCGCACTTTTCTTACGAATATTGCTGTTGTCACTATATTAATGTATTTATATTTAACAGATGGAATTAGATTTAAGCAAATTGCACAGAAATATCTTACTGGCATTTGAAGGGAAATCAGCAGCTTTCTTTATTTTTATAAGCTGGAATTTTTTTTTCTAAATATAATATTTTATATACATTTTTTCAGTGATCAGAAAAAAATCCTGAAGACTCGGTCATTGAATTTGTTTTTCTCTGGAATCAAATACATTCCAAGGTCCAATAAGGCATGTATATATATTAAAAGCTTGAGATACTACAAAGTACTACAAAGCACATTACATAAAAACATGCCTTTAAAAGGCTTGCGTGCGATCATGACAGAAACACAGAAGCTGCTCTTAGATCAGAACTGCGTTTTCTATTTATACTCACTCCATTCTGCACGTCTCTGTGAAATGACCCGCACCGGTGGTCTCTGCCTAGACACTGACATCACCCACCCATCCACCCACGATCTGTCTTTTTTTTTATTATTAGCTAACACATATGCAGGCTTCAGACTAACTTATTCATGACCCTGACTTGAAATAGCATGACACCCAGCTTTGATAGGAAAATGTTGGGGGTTTTTCATAGTAGTTGCTAGGGAAAAAAAAAAACAGAGAGAGCAGCCAAACCATCTTTGAGCTTTGGTCATCACAGAGGGAGACGTGAATGAGAGCAGGAGCTGAGGCTGCACACCAGACATGCATACATGTATGTAAATGGCCTCATTTAAAAGCCGCTCCAATTTTCAGCACAAATGGCTTTTTACTTTCTCTCCATAATATATCTTAACTCTGGAATAGCTCATTATCTTTTAACATGGTAGATGTTAATCAGTCTCAAATTTGTCAAGTAATCCACTCCTCTTTTTTACAGCACGGAGATGTTGTAGCACAGGTGGAATTTATTCCTTTAATCACATATATTGGATTTTCTGTCAAATCCAGTCGTTAAACATTGAAATGTATGTGGCAGTATTACAGTAAAGGTTCTTATTGTTCATTAAGGGCTTTTTAAAGTACTCTGATCACAGTCTTCATTTAATAAAATGGAGTATAACCTAACCCAAGTTAGCTTTCAGTGGTTAACATGTACATTAAAGATAACTTTTTAAATGAGCTAAGCTAACTATATTATTTGGAGTTTTAGAGGAGCATATGTAGTATCCAGATGGATTAGCAAGATTTTGATAAGAAAAAGTGAATTTGTCCTCGAGCTCGTGGCAAAGTTATTGAAGAAAGCACCTGAAGACATTCGTGTGACAGAAAGTACACACAATAAAATATTCGTATCTATATGACGAGTATATGTGAAAGAAATATGTATATGAAAGAATTCGAAGCCCAATTTAAAGCCACTAGTGGTGAACAGAAGTACTGCACCAGTAACTGTTAGAGCCGGGCTTGAATATTAGATTAGATTGAACGCTGGGGAAATTGTTAATATTTTGCACCTTCTGATTGACATTGCCATGTGTTTAGAAACATGGAGGATCACTGCAGGACTTTTTTGTTTTCGTTAGTGG